CTTCTCCTTCTCCTTCTCCTTCTCCTTCTCCTTCTCCTTCTCCTTCTCCTTCTCCTTCTCCTTCTCCTTCTCCTTCTCCTTCTCCTTCTCCTCCTCCTCCTCCTCCTCCTCCACCAGATTTTGGCATGACCCGGGACATCTACGAGACGGATTATTATCGGAAAGGGGGCAAGGGGCTGCTCCCTGTCCGCTGGATGTCCCCCGAGGCCCTCAAGGATGGCATCTTCAACACGCAGTCCGACGTCTGGTAGGAGTTGGGGTGGGGGGACTACGCTGGGAGGATTTGGGGGGGGTCCAGAGGGGGGTTGGGGGGCGTCCCCCTTGCTGAGCAGTGGTGTCCTGGCAGGTCCTTCGGGGTGGTGCTGTGGGAGATCGCCACGTTGGCCGAGCAGCCCTACCAGGGCATGTCCAACGAGCAGGTCCTGCGCTTCGTCATGGACAACGGCGTCCTGGAGCGCCCCGAAAACTGCCCCGATAAACTGTGAGTTGGGGGTGGTGGTGGTGGGGGGCGGGGGGAAACCCCCATCCTGCTGCGGGAAACGCTTGGGTGGGAGGAAAACCCAAGCTCGGCCACCAGGGAACTGGGGGCTCCCCCTCTCTAGCCCATTTGTGGTGGTGGGACAAGTGTCCCTGCAAGGTGTGGGGTGGGATGAGCGCCTGACCCTGGCCCATGACCCATGGCCACCTGCTCCCGGCAGCCGAGGAGGAATCCGGCAGCTTCTACGTCCTGCTCACCGTCACGCCCGTGGTCCTCATGGTCCTCATCTCCTGCCTTGCCGTCTTCGTCTTCTTCTACAACAAGAAGAGGTAGCGACCCCCCAACCCTGCACCCCCAGGGCTGGACCAGGTCCAGCTGAGCCAGGGCTGGGGATGGGACGTGGGGAGGTGGCATCCTGTCCTTGTCCCCCCCTGTCCTCTGAGCGATGCCCACCCCTCGCAGGAGCAACGATGGGTATCCCAGTGGGACGCTCTACACCTCCGTCAACCCCGAGTACTTCAGTGCCTCGGACAGTACGTAGGGACGGGCAGGGGCATCCCCGTGGGGTCTCCTGTGCCCTTCCCTTGCTGGGGACATACTGGTGGGGCTGGGGATGGAGATGGGGATGGGGTTGAGGATGGAGATGGAGATGGAGATGGAGATGGAGATGGAGATGGGGATGGGATGGGATGGAGATGGGGAAGTGATGGAGATGGAGATGGGGATGGAGATGAGGCTGGGGATGGACATGGACATGGGAAATATAGTTGGGGATGGAGATGGACATAGGATGGTATAGGGTTGGAGAACGGGGTGGGATGGGGTGGAGATGGAGATGGAGAAGAAATGAAGATGGGGATGGACATGGGATTGGTGATGGACATGAGGATGGGGATTGAGATATGGTTGGGGATGGAGATGGGGTTAGAGATGAGGATGGGATGGGGATGGAGATGGGGATGAAGATGGGGATGGGGTAGGGATGGGGATGGAGATGGAGATGGGGATGGAGATGGGGATGGGGATGGTGAGGGTGAGGGTGATGGTGATGGGGTGATGCCCCCTCGCCCCGCAGTGTACATCCCTGATGAGTGGGAGGTGCCGCGGGAGAAGATCACGGTGATCCGGGAGCTGGGGCAGGGCTCCTTCGGGATGGTGTACGAGGGGCTGGCGCTGGGGCTGGTGGCCGAGGGTGAGGAGACCAAGGTGGCCCTGAAGACGGTCAACGAGTTGGCCACCAAGCGGGAGCGCATCGAGTTCCTCAACGAAGCCTCTGTCATGAAAGCCTTCAAGTGCCACCATGTGGTAGGTGGGCGGCCGGGGGCGGGGAGGAGGAAGGAGACACGAGGGGGGTCCAGCTGCTCTCGTGCCACCCCATTTGTCCCCCCAGGTCCGTCTTCTTGGCGTCGTGTCCCAGGGCCAGCCAGCTTTGGTCATCATGGAGCTGATGACGCGGGGGGACCTGAAGGGAGGAAGGCAGGCTGAGAACGTGCTGAACTCAAGGCACAGATGAGCCGCCCCGAGGGGCTCTGGGAGGCAGGAGGATGAGGAGCCATGGGGGGGAGGGCAGTGGGTGCACCCACCCCAGGGAGGAAGAGGAGGAAGGTCCTGGCTGGGGGTGACAGGTCAGGAGGGGACCACGGCGTCCCCAAATATCCC